ACATGAACATACATGAACAAGGTCAAAGAAATAGAAGACAAGAAAAAAGCATCCAAACTTGATAAAGGAGCAGCTTCCAGATTTGTAAGAAACGCACTCTGGGAACCAAACCCTGGAAATGAACCTACCCCCAAAACTCCTGCTAAAGCGAAAAAGAGAAAGACAAACTAATTTTTTTTTTCCCTTATGCAAGTCAGAGATGACTAGAATTTTTAAAATGTCTTGCACACTGTAAGTGTCTTGTAGAGCTGCAGTGCAAGAACATCCCGGTTAGGCTATACTGAAAATGTTTTATGGGATTGTATTTTGTCCAGAGGTCATTGAGGTCATCACTATACAATATGTGAGTATCTTGTCCGATAAAAATAAATCCTAGGTGTTAAAAGCAAAACATTACCTGCTGTATTTTAAGTGCTGAACAATGGACACACTTGTTTGTGTATCTAATATCCTGTGTATTAAAACAGTATGAAACGGTGCTATCTAGTCTGTGGTGTTTATATAGGAGCCAGCTTTGTTTTTTTGTTATATTACTGTATGAAACACTATATTTGTAGAGTTTGGTAAGGCTTATTCAGTATGTTAAATTGTCCCACTTTCAGCTTCTGAAATGGAATTCATGGCATATATCCCTTTAGTTCTGTTGCCTTTCAGAAAGCCACAAGAAACTAGCTAGAATTCCACTTGTCCCTGTCACCTGCTGCTGGTACTGATAAGATCTGATATGTGCTCTGAGGTGAGGGGTGTATCTGTTGCTTTCTCCAGTGAGGGTTTCAGAAGTAGCATTTTCTCTTTAGTAAGAAGCTTCCTCAGGTAAGGGAGGAGGTGCGTTAGTTTTTGAGAGATGTTTTATTTTATTTTTTAGTATACTGCAAATCAAAATTCAAATATCAAAACAAAATCTGTCTAGCATTTAGCAGTACCCCAATTATGAAGCAATGATAAACACTTCAGTTGACGACAATACAGTCTGGGTAGCAATCTACAAACCAGCTTGGGAAATGCAGTTAGTGTGGAAGATCTAGACCATACTAAATGGTTGATTTGTAGTTTAATAAAGTAATTTAATTTGTAGTTTAATCATTTAATCTCGTACATCTGCAATACCATGAGTTGAATGACCTGCAATGGACTGCTACTTGATAGGGTGCTAAAATGTCGTTTCATCATTGATAACTCAAAAATACATATCCAAAGGTAAACAACACTTATTAAAAATACATTCTATATCTCGGAAACTTTTCTGGTGCCAGGTATAACTTTACACCTTTTTATTTAGCAAACTCAGTGAACAAATAATAATTCTTGTATTGTAGATGTTCATCTAGGTGTTCATCTTTAAAATCGCAGGATTGTTTCCACAAAGTGTGCATGTCAAAGGCCTCTAAACACTCTCTAGATGAAAGCTGAGTGCGTCTTTCCTATATGTCAATGTCACAGTTATGCCTAACTAAAGTGCTGCTAGGAGTCTCCTTTGGCTTAAGGTTCAACCTGAGACACCACTGGGTATTCTTGCCTAAGGTCAGTAGTATCTTGTAAAGCAATTCTTTGGTGTGCTTAATTGGTTGAGGCAGAGTTTACTTGGAAGTGTGTGTGTCCCCTTGACCACGATGCTGGAGATGGTAGATAATCATATAAGCAACAGAGACCTGGGCAGATACATGTTTTGGATCACTTAACAGCTGTTCCTGGTTAATCCCTGTGTTAAAAAGGGGCCTTTGAACTACTTGGGAAGGCAACAATATTAGAGTGATCTGAAGTGGCACAAGGCATTTAGGGATGTTCTGGAAGGTGACATCTTAAACTTGGATTGACATCTTGGAGAAACACAGCTTGGCGTGTATTTACACGCAGTGCTTTTCATTAAAGTGGAGTTGCAGGAGGCTTCCATTACATTATTTTCCTCTTATGATTCAGTTATAACCTTTGTTTTAAAAGGATAAGTTCCAAAAAGGACCATAATTCATTGTCCAGTGGAGTACACAGACTGCCTTCGTAAATGTTTACACAAGAATAAGTGAAGTCTATTAAGAGTCTGGAGGTAGCAGTCAGCCTTGGGTATAATTAACTGTATACGGGTAGCTGGCATTCATGGTAGGACAGTTGATAAATGTGTTAACATGTACAACTTCATAAGGTTTTGAAGCTAGTATTTTTAGTAAGATTGTTTTGGTGTAACCGGACAAATTCCCCACAAACTGAGCAGCAGTAACACCATGTGCATCTTGTTCAATATCCACCCGGAGTGGTTTCTATACTACTGATGGCAGGATGCTAGGGGGCTGAAAAGAAGGGAAAATCTCTCGGTGATTCCTAGTCCCACTGCTGTATGTGCTGAAGTCAAGTGCAGAAATTTATTTCAAGTGCAGAAGTTATTTAAAGAGAACATTAAGGTATACTGGGCTCCTACCTGCTTTGTCTTGATTTTGCTATAAATATATGGAGGGATAGTTGATATTAGTTAGAAACACCACCTAAAAGAATTACAGAATTGCTGTTTGAGAATGTTTTTTTAAGCTGAGAAATGAGAAAAGTGTGTAATACTCTGATTTATGGTGGAAATATGTATTCAGCAGGTTTTTTTTTGGAAAATGATCAATGATGCCAAAAAAATCAAGTTTTGCATTCAAGCTATTGAAAGTAAAAATAGTATTTATTGTTAAAGGGCCAAAATAATTGAAACTGGCTGCATCTCATATATGGAAGGATCCTTCCTTTGTTATAAATTGGGATGTAAAAATGGCAAAAGAGAATATTTGTTAAAGAGAGAAATATGTATGTCTCTTAGTTCCAACTTTACTTTCATTTGATTTAAAAAAAAAATTGGCATTTAACAATTATGGGGAAATAGTATATAAAACAAAGCCAGTTGCCATTTTGGAAGAGTCTGTGACACTTCAGTGGAGGGGGAAAAAAAATGCATGCTAGGTTTTCTTTTTGCTAATTCACTTTGAATTATTCCTTGCAGAAAGTTCCAGAGTCTGCCTGAATGCTTGTGTTATGCAGTTAGCTTACTTTCCTTGGCCAAAGTAGCATGGCTTTTTTTGTTTTGTTTTGTTTTGTTTTTGTTTTGTTTTGTTTTGTTTTTTTCCCAATTTCTGCTCTCCGGTGTGAGGCACTTGTCACATTTTACCAGCAGACCTACTGATTTTTTGATTATTTCTAACCTTTCCTGTAACAGCAGATTAGAGATCTGTGGATACTTACTACTGGTAATCTAAGAAGCAGACCTTGTAGTGGTGTTTTCATCAGCTGTACCAAAGGGAAAAGAGCAAAGGCTTGTTTTTAATACTAAGCTGAGTGAATATGGCGTGGAAATCTGGTAATGGCAAGGTATCAGTTTTGTAAAGTGATATATTTCAGAGGGATAACTAAATTTGACTGTGAATAAAAAGCTTTATAAATGGAACATTTAAGAGCCTATCTTTTACTTTTCAGCATAGTGTTGCCTTGACATGCATCATTTCAGTTTGGCAGCCCAAGCAAATGGATGGGAGCAATTCAGGATGATAATTCAGTATCGCCAAGAGGCGGCTTCTCAATTTAGTGTGGACACATTCTGTGGTAATATAAAGCCTCTATTAAGTGACAGAAAATGGGTCTAATTCAGCACTTTGCTCCAGCTTTACGCCAAGACAGCCATGATTTCAAAGGTACTTAAACTGGACATCCAAAGACTAGATCAGCAACATGATTTTCAAGCTAAGGATCACTCAAAGTCATGGTGATGCATCTTAAAAAGCAGTGATTCAGAGTAGGCAGGAAAGAAATGAAGCTTGGCTGCCCTTGCCAATGGACTGTAAAGTAAGTAGCAGTTGTAGGGGCACGGTCTTGCTGTTGTCTACCAGCTCAAATTGATAAAGTAAATGTGCAGTTGCTGAGTTACAGCACTGAAGTTGGCAAAAAAAGTAGTTTTTGATGTTACCCATTTGTTATAAATGCTCGTGTTCATGAACATGTTTGAGACTTTATTTTTCTCTTGTAGTTTTCTAGTATGTTTATTTTTCTTCATCACTTGAGTGTTTTTGGGTTTAATTAATCATTGTTTAAAGCCACAAAGTCACTGTCTCCATTATTAAAAGGTGAGAGATAGAAATGTCTGTAATAAACATTGTCAAGCATAAACAGTCGTATTAATTTGTTGCCCCAAGCTGAAAAAACTACTCTGCAACTCCTCTACAAGACAAAACGTGTTTTCTTATGCAGTGTGTCCATGGAGAGAGTGTTTTCTCAAAGTAGTTAATTGTTGCCTGTATATGTATACACTGCACACCCAGGTGAATTTTATCTCCTGCTAGGCAGTAGGCTCTTTTCTCAATGTATAAAGTGCAAGGTAATGAAATGTTACTGTCAGAGACAGTAACACATACTATTCCTTTATGGCAATTCAACTTTTGTTTTCATCAAAGTAGAAAAAATCCAGCATTAAAGAACAGAAAATATGGTCTTACATAAGTATATGTATGTTGTGTAATGAAAACACCCCTAAAATCTACCTGATTCTAAAAAGTCACTGATTTCCAGTGCAGTTTATTTGATTACTAATTAGAGGCCACTTCTTTGCTCTGTAGACAGCATTTCTTAAGCTTTGTTTAACGTCTAGTATATGCGGGGCTTACTGCTGATACTTGCACAGTGCCTCAACCTGTGTGTCTGGGTGGGTGTTTTTTTTTTTTTTTTTTTTCCCTCAGTTTCCAGATGTTTATAACTTGGCCTACTTTTAACTGTTTGCATTAGATTTGTAAAGGCTGAACAGTTGTTATAGTTATTCTCAAGAACATGGTTCATAAAGTATAGGCTGCTTTGCTAATGATAGCTAAGACTTGTGAATTTGTTTTTTCTAAAGGTTGTAACCCTCTTTCATTGAGGTGACAATCTGAAATGTAGTGAAAAATTGTCCACATTAGGGCTCTACAGAAGACACAGAAAACTGCATAATAGGCATAATATTAATCAGCTACTAGTTTGCTGTGTGTTCCAGCTTTCCCATGCATGGATGATGACATGGTGCTCTAACATACTATTTTTGCAAAGTTGCAGATCTAATACAACTTTACTGGTAACTTCCTCCCCTCTTCCTCTCCCCTCCCTCCCTTGCTCCCCCTCCCTCCCTCTGTCTCTGTCCTCCTGTTTCTCCAAGGAGGAAATAAGCTTCAAAGATCATCTTCTGT